AGTTTGGTTGCTTGGTTAGTCAGCTCGTTAGTAGTTTGGTTGCTTGGATAGTCAGCTGGTTAGTAGTTCATTTGATTGCTTAGTCAACTGTTTAGTAGTTCGGCTACTTACTTAGTCAGCTGGTTAGTAGTTTGGCTGCTTGCTTTGTCAGCTGGTTAGTAGTTTGGATGCTTGCTTAGTTAGCTGGTCAGTGGTTTGGTTGCTTGGTTAACCAGCTGCTCATTCCTCTTTTCTGCTGGCAGGGAGAAGTGTATCCAGAGCTGATCACCGAGACAGATCGGGTGAGTGATCTGGTTCCGCTTTCAGTCAGCAACTTGTCCACATGTGCAGCAGCTGGATGATGTAACATGAAGTTGTCATAATGGGGTTCCTACCTTTCAGATCATGGACATCATCAACGAGAACGAAGTCCAGTTCTTATCGTCTCTGCAGAAGGGCAGCCGGCTGATTCAGAGGACCCTCAGCAGGGAGGACTACAGAGTTCAGCTGTTCCCTGGTCAGTGGGGGTCTGGGGCTGGATTTTGGTCTTTGTTGTCAGTGACCAACTGTCCTGTTGGTTTTTCAGCCTCGGTGGTCTGGTCTCTGCACCGGGATCTGGGTTTTCCTCTGGACCTGGTGGACCTGATGTTGGAGGAGCGAGGTGTCCAAGTGGACCGTCAGGAGCTGGACCGACTGATCACAGAACACCAGAAGGTGGAGCTTTACAGAATTACTGTTTGGGACCCAAACTCCCATGATGCACCTGGTTCTTCTCAGTTTCATTTTGAAGGAGACATAAGTCTCTTATTGTGGAGGAGATGAGGTCTTTTACTCGGGTTACATAGTGTGATGTCACTGATGATGTCGCACATCTGTCAGGTGGCGTCAGAGCAGCAGGTAGGTGTCCCGTCCCAGTTGACGCTGGACGTCCTCAGCCTGGCGAAGCTGCAGCATTTGGGCGTTCCTCACACCGATGACAGCCTGAAGTACGAGTATGGACTGGAGGGGGAGGGGCGATACGGTACTCTCCTACCTGCACAAGTAACAGCTGCCTATTGTTGGTCCACACCTGTCACAGAACCTGTTTTTCTCCCAGTGTTCCCAGAATGCCAAGCAACAGTCCTGGCCCTGTATGACGGTCAGACTTTGGTTCCAGAGGTCCGTGAGGGTCAGTCCTGTGGGGTGGTTCTGGATCAGACCTGCTTCTACTCTGAGCAGGGAGGGCAGTCACCTGACCGGGGCTACTTCACCTGCAACCGCCTGCAGGTGAGCTGATCGCTCTCACACGAGGTGCATGATGGGAAACAGACCGTCTGTCCTGTGTGTTCCAGGATGTTCTGTTCCCTGTGGAGGCCGTGGACCGGGTCGGTGGGTACGTGGTCCATCAGGTGACTGCAGTCGACAGCCTGAAGACTGGAGACCAGATTCAGCTGCACCTGGACCAGGTAAAGATCAGCGAGGCCAAGAACCCCAAAACAAAACCAGACAGAACCAAGAGGCCCTTCCTGCTGTGTGTAACTGTCCCGGTTCTGTCCATCTTGTCCGGCCTCAGGCCCACAGGCTGGCCTGCATGGTCAAACACACGGCGACCCACATCCTGAACTTTGCTCTGAGGAAAGTTCTGGGTCCAGCGGTCCATCAGAGAGGTTCTCACGTGTCAGCCGACCACCTGCGCTTTGACTGCAGCATCAAGGTGCTGACCCGTTACCCAGCTGAGAAACTAATGCGGATGTTCTGTGGTTTTGACGTGTCCTGTGGGTCCTCCTCAGGGTTCTCTGAGCCCCTCCCAGCTACAGCAGGTAGAGAGCTGTGTCAACGACATCATCTCAGCCAATCAGAGGGTCTACAGCCAGGAGGTCCCTCTGCAGATGGCCAAAACCATCAGAGGACTGAGGACGGTGGACGAGGTGAGACCAGACCGGCCATCTCCTGGTCTCATGTCCAGGTGTTCTGATGATCCCTCCTGTACCGGCTCTGCAGGTGTATCCAGACCTGGTTCGGGTAGTCTCACTGCACGTTCCAGTCTCAGAACTGCTGGACACTGGGACAGATGCTGGGACAGACACGGAGACATCTGTGGAGCTCTGCTGCGGAACGTGAGAGCAACCGCCCCCCTTTACCTGTCGACACCTGTGTGTGTGTATGTGTGTCCTCAGGTGTGTGTATATGTGTGTCCTCAGACACCTGCTGCAGACTGGGTCTATCGAGGACTTTGTGATCACCTCAGAGAAGCAGCAGGTGAAGCGGGTCAGTCGGCTTGTGGCCGTGACGGGACGCGATGCAGTTCGGGTCAGTTCTTCTGTGGTAATCTCTGACATTATCCAGGTGTACCTTGAGGTGGATCTGAAACTCCCATGTGTCCTCAGGCCCGGGAAATGGGACTCAGTTTGTCTCAGCAAGTAGAATCTCTGTCAGCCAGAGCTTCAGGCTCCACCCCATCCAGTCCTGACTCCGCCCATCGACTCTCTAAGGAGACAAGCATCCTGTCTGATGTAAATGGACCTCCCATGATGCACCAAACTGTAGGTTAACCAAGGAATTGATGTTTTTTGGCCCTGGGCTGTGTCCGACAGGTTGTGGATAACAGCGCCATCCCTCAATGGCAGCGCAGAGAAATGCAGGCTTGCCTTCAAAGACTTCTGAGGACCACCAACACAGTCATCAGGAAACTGGAGACCAGAGAGGTGAGAGCACACCTGATTGCCTCACCTGAGACAACATGCTGCTGTTCTGACAGTTTTCCCATCATGCTTTGCTCAGGCTGCACAGAGAGCTCAGGTTCTGCTGGAGAAGAATGGCAAGAAGGGGGTGCTGGTGGACTCTGTGGAGACCGGGTCCCTGTCGGTGGGTGAAACCGGGTCTGCATGTTGATTCAGGACTTGCGGCACACCTGAGATCACGTGACCGGTTCTGTTTCAGGTTCTGATGAAGACTGTCAATCAGTTGAGCTCCACCTCTCCTCTCAGTCATGTGATGCTGCTTGCCCCCCAGAGGCATTCTGGGAAAATCCTTTGTGCCTGTCAGGTTCCTAAGGTAATGTTAGTGACATCACAGAGGGTGGGGTCATTACCACATTTTGGAGCATTTTAATTGTCTGCCTCCTATCTCTGCAGGACTCGCTGGCCCTTGCTGCCTCTGATTGGGCGGTGGCTGTGTGTCGCCACCTCAACGGGAGTGCCGGGGGCTCATCGCTCGTCGCCAAGGGAACAGGAAGCAGTGGTGACATCATCGAGGCCCTCAGGTGGGCAGAAGACTTTGCTCGCCAAAGAACAGAGCGATGTGACAGTGACTCTGCCCACAGCTGAAGTCTGTCTCATTGGTCAGCAGAATCATGTGACATTTTGTTTTTAATAAATATTTCTTTGTTTTAAAAGAAATAAATCAGATCAGGTTCAGATTTATTTATTGTTCACAGAGTAAATAATCATCAAACTAACACAGGATCCAGTTTATTCTCTTCCTATTGGTCCAACCAGAACTCGGACCTTCAGGTCTCTTGTAAATGAGTCCTCGTGGCTCATTGGGACTAACCTGTTTAAATAAAGGTTGAATGAAAAAAAAGAAAGGGACCTGAATCCTGGTTCTGCAGAACATGGTCGTGTTGAGCCACAGCAGGAGACAAAAAGTCCAGTTAGAGACGTTCAGGTGGACCTAAAGACAATCAAAGCATCTGGTGTATTTTAACAGTTTGTTAAACGTCTACGTGCTTGTAAAAAATTATTTAGTTTGTTTAATTTTGGGGGGTCAGACCCCTAAGCACTGGCTCGCAGACCCCCAGGGGTCTGGGGACCCCAGTTTGAGAACCACTGATCTAAATCAGAGTTCTCTAGAACCACAGAGTTCTTTAAAACCAGAGTTATTTAAAAATCACAGTTCTCTAAAAACAGAGTTCTGTAAACCACTAGAGGGCGCACTTGCCCTCCCAGCTGGTTGAGGGGCCCCCCCCATCGCTGACACGTGACAAATCAAAACTTCATAAATCACAATTAAAGCATCCATGTCCCGTTCAGAGGTGAGCTTTCAGAAATTAATACGGTCCATCAGAACCAAAGAAGTGGAGCAGAACTCTGCTGTGCTGAAGCAGAGTGATGCATTCAATGTTATTTTTTTTATTTTTTCCATTCAACCTTTATTTATACAGGTTGGTCTCATTGAGTCAATTGGACTCATTTACGAGAAAGACCTGTTTTAAATGAAAAACATAAATGAGGTACACGCAACAATAAACATTCATATAAAAGCATATAAAATGAAAAGTATATTAAATATAAAACAAAAAACATGCTACAGTAAAAAAACAGTGTATGTTTGCATTGATTTTTGCATCAAATTCAACAGTAGTTTAAAATCTATTATGGAGGTCAAGGTCGAGAGCTTCAGATCTTTTTGCAAGGTGTTCCAGGTTACAGGAGTTGAGTAAGAGAAGGCCCTTTTGCCAGATTCGGTCCGCACTCATGGGACACTGCAGGTAATTATGTCTTGGGAGCGCACGCTGTAGCTGCACTGACAAAGTGACACATAGGAGGAGATTTATGAAGGCAACAGACCAATAGACAGTGTCCAACATCTGCAAGGTGCTTGTAGGAGCATTCATGTACTGTAAATAATGTCACCATAGTCAATGGAGGCAAGGAAAGTATCAGATAAAAGGCATTTCCTAGTGTTCAGGATCTATTTATGGAAAAAAAACCCTCAATTTTACTTAAATTTCTTTACCAAGTTTTCGACGTGAGGCTTAAAAGAGAGATGTGCGTAGAGCAAAATTCCCAAGTATTTTAGAATCAACAAACTCAATAGGAACACCACTTGTAGATAAGACAAAACATCTTTGTTTTTATCAACATTTAGCATCAGTGTGAGACAGAACAAATGTGACTGGACAGGTGTGTTGTTGTCTCCCTCGAGTCATTTACTTTAATGAATTAGCTCAATTTGGTGATCCTCGTTGTGGTTGTAAACCAACTACAAAGTTGCTGTATTTCATCAAAATTCTCTTCAATAAACCTGTTTGTATTGAAGTAAAAATGTGTGAGAGAGTCACGTCCCAGAGACAGTGTGAGCATTGCAAAGCATGCAGAGTATGAATTGTGTGTGCAATGTTTTTGACATTTTACGAGGTTTCTGAGTGTGGAAATGGCTTTTTCATGTTATTTTCCTGTTCTGGTTTGGCTTCATTTCTGTTAAAGGCTCCGTTATTGGTTGTAAACGGACACCATGAGTCAGAGACTGTTTGTGGTAGATATGAGGGGAAAACACTGTGAAGGTGTTTTGATGTCACCAGGTGGCGCTTGGATTTGCTTTGCTCTGCACAGCACAGCATCATTCTGTGGAAACCATTCTCCTGAATACTTTTAGTGCAGAGTTATCTTTTAAAAATGAGTGGACTTGAATTTACCAGATTTAAATTTAACGGATGCTAATTCTGCTAAAACTTTTCAGTTAGCAAAAATGCTTAATAGAAAGTTAGTTCTGCTCTTAGTAGATTAGCAGAACCGTGCCCATCACTGCCCAGCCCCCAGCAGCAGATTTAACACTTGTAGACTATTCTCTGGCTTCCCTAGATGTGTCTTCTACAGGTACAGAACAAAATAAAACACACAGAGGAAGAAGTCAATAAAACTATCAAACCTGAAGAGCAGCAAAATGCCAGGTCCATATGGTTTTCCATGGCACAAGTGCTTAGGACATACAATCATACTAGAGTGTTAATAAAATCTTGCTTTAAGTTAGGAGCAGAGCACCAACATCATCTTGGAAACACGCCCTTATCGCCATAATACCAAAGACCGGACTGAGCATAGCTCACACAGACCCACGTTTCAGATATTGGATCTAGAACTGACTCAAAGAACCAGTCTCTGCCATCTGGGTCTAAAACTGACTCAAAAACCAGTCTCTGCCAGTTGGGTCTGGAACTCACTCAAAAACTGGTCAAGATTCTCTCCCAGGTGGATCTAGAACTGACTCAAAAACTTTCTAAGGTTACTATAATGAACATAAATGTCCAGATTCAGGTCTGGACAGGAAATAATTTTCTTTGGTTTGAGTCCGTCCTGATGGATCAGTGGTCGTTACAGGTAACCAAACGCCTAAGGAGGTCATCTGGCCTCTGATTGGCTACTCTGTTTTTGATACACCAGAATGTGATGTCGTGACAGGCTCCGCCCACCTGCCTGCCAGCAGGTTCACTTTGTGTTTACAACTTGGACACGCCCAGCCAGGTGAGAGGAATGTTCCAGCTCAGGCAGGTGTGACTCACCTGAGACCGACACACGTTTGTTTTACTGAACAAAACTGTCGCACATCTGTCAACTTGGAGGCGTAAAACAGCTAAATGTCAGCCGATGAACTATTGCTAGCCCAGTTTCAGCTGATGTTTCAGACCTGGAGATAATCCAGGACAAGTCAGCATGTTTGTTTTTCTGTTTGTTTGGCCCAGCAGCTTCCTGAACGGCCTATCGCTATCAAAAGCACACGGGTGTTCATTGTGTGGGAGTTCTCGTTACTGGAACTGGTTCTTCTGGTCGGACCCGTCCCACTCGTTCTCGCCCAGAGCTCCCTGATAGCTGTCAGTCCTGCTGTCTCCAGACACGATGAAGTCGGGCTGCGACACCAGTTTCTGCACAGACAGAGGATCAAGAAGGTTCTGGGGTGGAGCCAAATCACAGATTATTGTTGGCAAAGTTCTGGAGAACAACTCAACACAACAGGTCAGATCAGAAGTCACATAGAAGGTTCTTCTGACTGAACAGAACCAGAACAAAAACAGTTCAACTTCCGTCTCCCACAAAGTCAAAGGTCAAATACAAGAGATGCACAAAACTTTCAATCAACGCAACTTTATTGTCCGTAACATTCCATGAGATGGAGACTCATCTTTCACATCTGGCTCTACATACAAAACAACACAAATTAAAAATGCCATAAAACTTTTAAAAAGCTTTGCTAACCCAATAAAAACGTTCTAAAATACACGACACAGTAAAATATAAAAACATTCCATTAACAGTGGTTTGTCATGCGAGGCTACGTTTAAGTAGGACTTTATTATAAGGACACTCGCAGCAGAGGGAACAAATGACTTTTCTTTACCAGATGAACCACCAGTCTTCAGCCAGATGATACCAACCTGTATAATGGTCGCTGTGGACGAGTTGGGTCATTATGAACCTGTATTGCCTTTTTTTCCCAGAATCCGACTGTACAGATCTGTAAGTTGCATTTGTTGATAACCAATTATTTTTGACCACCCGGGACAACTTGTTCCTGTCTCTGGCAGGAGGTTCCCATACAATGAGACAATATTAAAGGAAACTTTCAACCAGTGACCTGTACTGCAGAGTGCATTAAAGCTCCTTAGCTTATGTAGAAGATGGAGACGACATATGTTTTTTTGTAAATATAGTCTGTGTTGGGCTGAATGGTCAACTTGTTGTCAATTATTGTTCCGGGGTATTTAAATTCAGCCACCTGCTCTATTTTCTGCCCTCTTATAACAGAAGATCTGAATAAGGTGCTCCCAATCTACCTCACCTCCTACCTCCTTGGTTTTACTGACATTAAGGTCCAGAAAACTATCATCAAACCAGGCAGAGAGCTGATCGATGAGCTGGGTGTAGGAGGGGCTATTGGTGTCTTTCATTCCAGCAACTAGGGCCATATCATAAACATACTTAATGAATGTAAAGTCTTTATGTCACAACTCATTTATGTATAAAGAGAATAAAAGTGGCGATAGCACACAACCCTGGGGAACACCAATGACCCTATAGTCAGTTAGTCCTAGAGGCAAACTGCATGGGGTGCATATGCTCAGCTGTAAAAGACGAGCCCCCTGCTCACTAGGCGCTCCATACATTTGCACAATAAGGATTTGACCACCTGGCCACATAAGCACCCTCCAAATTAAATGGTAAATGGACTGTACCTCCATAGCGTCTTTCTATCTTAAGATACTCAAAGCTCTTTACAACAATCTGTGCCCTCATTTACCCATTCATACAGCACTCTACTAGATCTCTACAAAGAATACCAGTAATCAGTGCTTTATCACATTCATACACCGATGGGACACATATCGGAGGCAATGAGGGGTTCAGTGTATTGCCCAGGGACACTTCGGCATGTAACTGGTGGAATCAAACCCCCGACTCTTGCATTGGAGGACGACTGCTCTAACCACTCAGCCACAGCCGCCCCAATTCCCAAAGCATTTATCAAGAATCTTGTCTTTCCATGTCAGACAGGACACATGCTGTTCTAAATTCAGGAGATAAGTGGGAGTATCACTATGTAGAAACATCTGGTCATGTGTAGAAACA